TAAAAATTCATACATTTTCTGCTATCCTCTAAGAACACCAAAAACATGATGCTTTAAAAAGAAGAGTTTCACTGTTTGGACTTATTTTGAATTAGTATTTGTACAATTTTGAAAAGTACTAAATCATAACAATGAGAAGCACTTTCTACGTCGGATGTATTTTTCTGTGCAGGATTCAGATATTTAATAATAAAATTCACAATATTCACAAGTTTTCCGTAAGGAAATTACTATTACACTTTATGAAGTAATAATATTACTTCCTAATCATAGCAAGCTACCTACTTAGAACAAAACTAAAAATTAAGCTGGTAATAAAAATAGTTAACTGATTAAATTGTTGTATCATTCTTATTTATAGATATTATAACACATTGCTTCACCAGTAGACTATCCTCGTTGTTAATGATAATTTCAGCCTTAAAGTAAATAATATATCATGAAATTCGGTGAGTTTAGAAGATTTAAGTTAGTCCTGAAAAAAATATATACTAAGTTAACAATGAAAATCAGTCTTTATAATAAAAGTCTCTTATTATATATATATATATAAACTAGTTTCGATACCTGTGGTGAGCATAGCACACATAGCCCATTGTGTAGCTTTGCGCTTAACAACAAATAAACAAATATACCATTTTGTTTGAGGATTTTTGCCATAGAAGGAGGATAATAAACACCATGAGACAGAGCACATTTCCTCTCGTTTTGACTTTGTCTTTAAAGACACAAGTACTTAGTCAGTTGAGTGAGTCAGTTATTACCTTCCACAAAGGAGGATATACAATTATCATCTAATGAGTTCATCAGGGATTTAATATCAAAAGAAAGAAGGAAGAGGAACATTATCTAACGTCGTTCTTTAAATATTTTTTGCTTCCTTAACGGGTACTCTCAGCTAGTAATAAAAAAATATAAAAATAATAATACTAGATAAGTCAAGAATTGTAGCTAATAGTGTTAATGAAAGGAATATTAACGAAATAATAGAGTATATCCTACTGATAGAACATACAAGCACAAGCTATTAGCTACGAATACTGTAGTTGATTTGATGTTCGACTGAGGGAAGTTTTTAGAAACAAAATATCATTAAGTTTACGATTTTTTACTCTTTTGTAGCGGTGATGCCAAACATACATTAACAGAATCCCTTTACTAACAAACGTATAACTACACAACAGAGGACTATAATGCGGCGGGATCAATGTATCCAGACACAATTCCATGTCAGGAAACATACCACTTTAGACACATCATTTTCAGTAGGACTAATTTACAACTAAATTAATTGTTGAATTATATTTTGATCGAGACGGAATCCAACATTATGGAAGTAGTTAATACTCTAAGCCAAAAGGGAAATCAAACTTTCATTGCATATGCTTTAGGGATTACTTGAAGGAAATTGTTAGACGTATTCATATAAAATATTTCATTATTCTAAGCTGATGCATATACCGCTTATTATACTCAGTGATGGAAAATGTTTTGGAAATACTCATACCGATCTGAGTGAAAATCATCTTTGAGCTAGAAAACTCATACTTGAATAAGGGTTAAAATATAGTGTATTATTATTATTATTATTATCGTGAACTTAATAGTTTCTTTTTTCATCAATGCAAAACAAAAACATTGGCCACTTGTAAGATTGTTTTCTTAGTGGGTCATGAATAATTCACATCTCCAGTCAAACAGAAGTCATACCAATCCCAATAAGTTGTCAAAGATGTTGTCCATTTGAAAACATCAGACAAGAAGTAATATGTTGTAATTTACATTATTATGCTCTATAATATATTGGTCTGATATCTGAGAAATCTTCTGATCGACTGTTAGAAAATAACGTTACGTATGCTTCAAATTCTAAAGCTTTGCATTCGGCAATTTCACTTTAAAGATGCGTAGCAGAGCCTACGCCTGTCGGTTGTAATCTACACTAATAATTTATTTTGATGCCAAACTAAGAATTTGCCAAAATACAATGACGTGATTAATCTTTAGTATTCAGTTAACTTATTCATAAAATAAACACTTAGGTCAACATTTAGGTGTTAAATAATAATATTTTATCAAGCAACATGTTAAAACATGAATAGACAATGAAGTTTGTACATTTAAAAACACATACCTTGTACTTTATACTCGTTAAAAACATCACATGAAAAGTGCGAGACACAAAACACAGAAAATTCTAAAAATCAAACTTTAATTAAATCAAATAATTAAATTCTGATTTGTAGAGCATTGTTTTCCGTCAATTCTACCTTCACTGTGATCTGTTTAAAGACACTTATATTCTTGCCATTCCTATCAGAAGGACGTGCTAGTCATTATGTAAGAGTCCACTCTCTTCCAGTATTTGCATAAAGTCCAGAACTCGAGTACTGTATACGGCCTGTAATCAAGTGATCAAGGTTCTATTCACCATCCGTTTAAGTAATTCTTTACTTAAAGTGACAATGTAGTTTAAAAATAACTATTTTTCTAATTCGTTCGAACTGACTCGGTTTCGTTTTTCTTCATTAGGTTAATTACGTGTGAGTAATTAGTACCGCTTTGTAATATGAAGATGAAACATGGTTTCCCGCAGTGTAATACCTACGGGGTTTCTTTGAAGGTGTTTATTTTTTGTTGTTTATACTTACTTTTACAATTGTGATGATAAATATGCCAAGTACGTATATTAGTGGGCCAGATACACCACTGATTAACGTGTCAGAAACCACTGATTAGTGGGCCAGATACACCACTGATTAACGTGTCAGATACGATACTAATTAAAAAAAGGATAAGAAAGAAAAGCGAGTCTTTTGACTAAAAAAGAATTATCACAAGAGTGGATTAATATTGTTAGCATAAAATCATAATTTTTATGATAATATCCTCTAGTTAGCTTCGTGAATACCACAATTATTATTTTATTTTTTCAACTGTATTATTTGAGATTTTGGAAATGTTCATATGGACACGGCTTTTCCTTCATGAATATTCATTAAAATAAATATTAATTGCTAAAATTAGAGCTATAAAGAGCGCTAAACCTCTGAATATGACTATCTCACATCAAAATCTTATCATAATAGAAAAGCCATATTAGATTTCGAAGTTTCATATCTATTCTTCAAGTTATCAAAGTTAGATTTATTCCAAGTTAATATATCATTCAGTTGTAATGTAATAGTTATGAACATTGTAACTTATATTTTTATGTTTACATAATTTGAAATAATATTACTGCAAATAATTTTATTGATTCACAGTTACTGAGATATGAAACTTTAAAATTACATCAAACCTAGAAATTCAACATGCCGTTTTTTATTTATGTAAACATAAAAATAAGATTGTCAAAATTAAATTCGTATTGTCTCATTTGAAAATCTCTTTCAGTTTACAACAAATGCTAGAAATTAAAAAATAAATAAATATGTATATTTACAACTATATATATATATATAAAAATAAAAATATTTAAGTATAAAAATGTATATAAATATGTATTTTATTC